ACAAACAATAACATTTTTAAATCAATTCTACAAAGCACAGGGAGCCAGTGCAACGAGGACAGAACTGGAGAGATGTGCTGATCTTTATGGGATCTTGTGAGAACTCTAGCTGCAGTGTTTTGTTCTAGTTGAAGACGATACAGAGAACTTTGGGGCAGACCAGAAAATAAAGAGTTAAAATAATCAAGATGACAAGAGACAAAGGCATGAATAAGACTTTCTGCATCAGTTAAAGAGATAAATGGAAAGTAACAACAGATTATGTAACAAAAACATTTTTAATCTAGGAAATATTAAAGAGCAAACATTTTCTCTCAACAAATTTAGTAATTCAATTTATTTATAAACGGTTAATCCATTGGTATGATTTGTTCTTTAAATTACCATATTTAATATTTATATGGCTACTACTGTATTTTAAATAAATGATCGTTCATTCGACTTTAAAAACTCAACATGCTAAACAATCAAACCACAACGGTCTACTAAAATAAGCTACGCCCATGTACTGCCATGTTCTGGCAAAAGCACAAGCAGACAGGAAGTCAGTCAGACAGGAAGTCAGTCAGACAGGAAGTCAGTCAGAACATAATGTCCCATACCGTATCAGTCTCAGGAGATGATTGGGGTGTGAAGAACTGAGATAGTGATGCTTTGGTCTTCTGTATTCTTACATGTCTGCAGTGTTGCTCTCCTGATGCATGCTGTCCGACATCAGACAGCCCACAGTGAGCCACTGAAAACACTCGGAGACATATTTTACAATTTGCCTTGTAACCATCTCTACTGACGCTGTCCAGCCAAGGATTTGCCTCTTCCCACTCAAGTCTGTACCTTTATAAGCGTTTTCGCTTTTGAGGATGCAGTGGAGTATCGGGCGTAGTGGACATTTTTAAAAGGCGTGGGTTTTGTGAGCCGCAGACACACAGAGGAGCGGAGCTGGGGGATCATTAGATCATTACTGTTAGATTTATGCTGTGTCCCTCAAGCGCCCACTGAATTGGGACACAGCTTATGTGTTGATGTGTGTGACAGATATGTGTATTGGAAATTTATGGCATTACGGAACAAATCATGTCCTGTATTGGTTCAATACAAGACGCAACATTTATTTGCTGAATAAAGGACAATTCCGTATTTTGCGGGACGGGTGGCAACCCTACAGGCAAGAGAAAAGGTAGACCTTTCGGCCCGTCTTGTGTGAAAACTCTGCTTTGCTGTTCTGGGGACGCCCTGACAGGCTGCCTGATTAAAAATGGCTGATTGCAGAATTTATAGAAAAAATATACGGTTATTCATTTAAAAATATACCGGCAGTGTAGAACATACGTAGATTGGAAAAGTAAATTTCAGAGCAGTGTTTGAGGAACGCTGAAAGGTTCAGATCAATCTCTAAGGCCGAAGTTACGACTTGGTTAGCATTAGCATGCTACATGCTAGCGCAACCAAAATGCTTGTCTGAAAATCATAGGCATCAGAAGCATCTGTAATGTGGGGGGGGGGACACTATAGTGTGTGTGTGTGCATGCGCACCAGTGTACAAAAAAGCAACATTTCATCTAGTTTTCCTTAATTTATTTCCTTTTAAAGCATGTTTCACACTAAGTTTGTGTAAATTCAGCTGTGGGCTTTAAAGACATTTCAACTTTAATGCACTTTAACACACAGCCTCTGATCAGCACTATTTGTGTTTACAGAGAAATAAAAAAACATCACCACTGGACTTTTTTACTTGTGTTCAACACTACTCATCTAAATTGTTTTTCTCATGAAGCTTGAGGACAATAAGGTGTGGGGTTTTAAAGACATTTCAACTTTAATGCACCTGAACACACAGCATCTCTTACACCTGCAGCGTCTTACAGCGTCACACTTACTGCTAAGCTAACATGCTACAGACGTAGCGCTACACTCAAACATCCTCCTAACATGAATATTTATTGATCAAGCCCCTGGTCAACAACTGCCCGCACTAAGCTTGCTAAACTGGTGAGCGATCAACACAGAGGTATCTCCATCTCCTCCACCTGTGAGCGTTTTCTGCCGAGGCAGGAGGAAACGCACAGAAACACTGCTGCTGCTGAAAGCTGGAGAGTTGGAGGTAACCAGGAAAACCTGGAGTGTATTTGTAGTGGTTTGAGTGTTCTCCTATTATTCAAGTGGAATGGATTATTTCACAAAGAAAGACAAACAGTGCCAACAGAACTAATGCTTCATAGTAAAAGTGTGTGTGTGTGTTGGGGGGTCCAAATTAACGTTTTTTTAATGTGGGGGGACAAGTCCCCTTCATAATGGTTGCAATGCCTATGCTGAATATTAAATGGTTAAAGTAACAATGAAGATACTCATAAAGTATCCGCTTGTGTGTGTTAAAGTTGAGATAAGCATTGAAACTTAATATTTCTGCTTTGTGTTTGTGGAACAAGGATAAAAGAGTATCCTGATGCATGCTCAATAATCCAGGTAGAAAAATCCAAAAAAGTTCAATCTGGTCCTCTGGACATTCAAAAAAA